CGCACATACAATTCAACTTAACAACGCCACAATTCCAGCAGATGGTGCCAAAATAATATGAGAAGTTTAGCGAACAACTGGGGGGAGGCTAGTTCCCCCCCCCCCCCCCCCCAAAAAAAAATGCATGGAGATTCTGACCAACTTTGCTCTCCCCGTTTGCAGACAGACGCAAGCCTGAAGAAGAGGCGCCAACATAGCGGTGAGCAAGCGAAGGGTCACAGTCAGTTACGATGAGCTGAGATGATGCAAACAAAAGGCCGAATTGTAGCTGAGACCACCCGCCAGCAGTTTGTTCTCACAGCGGGGAAAAGAAGCTGTGACAAAAAAACGACCGAAGCGTTTGTCTGATCCTCATCACGTTGTCACTTCTCTGGGCTGTTTTATTTTATCATATGGAGCGTGGTCAGCCATCTAAACTTGTTTTTTTCATTTTTTTTTAGCGCTTCCTGTTTTGACTGCAGGCACGTGATGGCATTGAACGTGCATTGTCTTCTTCCAGCAGGCTGCGATCTGTGCATTCAGCTCATGTCTTTCTCTCACCCTTTAAAATAAAGGATTTGAAAAAAATAAGCTTGTTTTTCTTCTAAGTTGCAAACAATTCCAAAATTTAAAAAGTGGATGATTATTGTTAAACTGTTGGGCGTGTAAGATTTTTCTTTTTAAACATTTTGATGTCATTCATGATGTATTAAATATAATTTATTAAAAAAGCAGTAGGACTTTAGTTGTGAAGCACAGAGTGCTCTATGACAAGTCCATATTCAAGTGTCAAATATTGTTTGGCTGCGTAATAAATCGTGGCAAAAACTGGTACGTACTGACGTACAAGCGCTCACAATCAAATTTTAAAGCTAACAGACGGCGTCGACTTTTCACATGAAATTGACTTTAAAGGGCGGCGAAGTGTTGACGTCACTTCCGCATAGGAATGTCATGTAAAAATGGCGGTGACTTGCGCGCAAACGTTGAGACGAGCGTGCATGTTTATGTTCGGACGTCCTGTTTTGCGGCCGAACGGCTTTTTGTCGTCGCTTTGCTTCGCGAACACTCCGCCGAGCAGGTGAGGATTAAGTACTCCCGCACCACAGTTGACACGATCACTTCCTGTCACCTCAGAACACGAAAGGTCTTTGGGCAACGTGAATTGACGTCACCGTTTGTTGTATTTGGTCGGGACGAGAATAAATTACATTCTTTGCGTTCTTTCACGAAGAAAAATGCAAATTACCAGCATAATCACACACGAATGTCTTCTGGAGCACTTGACAATATTGTTAAAAGATTCCACCATAATACGTCATACTTACCTGTTCCTGATTTTGACATGAATTAATGAGTGTTACATTTGTGTTTTGATCTTTTAATTCACAATAATTGTGACATTATGTATAAGGACAAATGTGATTGTTTGAAGAAATAGTACAGATTGCTAATCTAGTATTCTGTTGCATGCGAGACCACTGGCAGACAACATTGAAGAGACTGAAATATTGATTGGACAGAGAGACAAATTGACTGATGGCAATAAACAATAACCATTTCATGGAACAAATATTCCAAGTCAATTTGTTAGATTAGGCTATTGGTTCAGATGGCGTTTAGGCCCCCAGAGATGGATTTGCTGTCCCTGACCTTCACATCTGCGTATACTAATGGGCCAATCATCTGTTAATCACTTGAGCTGGTCACCCCCTATTTTTTGCGATTTTATTTGTGGTGTATTCAGGATCACTGGAGTTTGTAAAATTGCTGCTGTGACGTCACAAAGAGGAGAAGAGCGGGGAAGGAAGGATGGAAGAAGAGGCAGAGGCAGAGGAATATGGACAGTGCCAGCAGCAAGTAAGTGATGTCACTGAGTCAATTTGTGCAACACCTTTTTCTTGCGCTTCATTTTCTTGTTTTTATTCTTTTTCTGAGTCTGCTTGTTCTCTTTTTTTGTTTGCTTTTCTCAACATGTCTTCTTTCCTCGTTGTCATTTCAGTCTTTGGGTTGTTTGGCTCATCCGAGGAGCCGTCGAGCAAAGAGGAGGAGCTGATTATGCTTCTGAAGAAAGCCAAGGTAGTGAAGTGCCTCGCCCACACGTGCGCTTGCCTTATGACCTTCATCTGTCACGTGACCTGTTCTGCAGCTCAGCATGTTGAGGGGTGAGCTGGAGGCGGCGTCTTCCTTCCTCCACGCCGCCGCAGCCATTGCGCATGGGGAACGCCACCGGCCTGCTATCATCTACACGTACAGCCAGGTAGGAAAAGGTGCCAGGTGAAAGCGTGCGCCATCATAGCCCTAACGGCCAACCAAAATCGCTCTGCGGCATCACATGAACTTCCACGAGCAATCAGACTTTTCCGTTGTGTAGCGAGCACTCATGAGTACTTCAGGAGTAAATGACATCAATGAACTGCTCTTCCCAAATTGGTCAATGGTCGACTCATTTGAGTGACGTGGTGCCTTGTGAGGGGCCTTGAAATGGTGCAAACACAAAACAATGTCTCCTTAGATGGCCAACCTTGCATACGTTCAAGGTCATCTGACTCAGGTGAGTAGGCATTTGATTGGCGGCCGACGGCTTGCTGTGGCTTTGCTGCGATGACATCTCGACTATCACCCACCAGGCAGAGAAGCTCTTCAAGGCGGCCATGAGCTATATGCTGGCAGGCGGGATGCCGCAGGTAAGTCACCTTTTGGTCCGCTCGCCAACTTCCCGCTTTCCACTCAGCAACTTTCCTTTTCCAGGACGACAACGCCTTTGTGGAGATGTCGCTCAAACTGGCCACCATGTATGCCCAAGAGAATAAGTAAGTAAGATGCCACTCACTCAACGACGCCAAGATCAGATCACATGTGGCTTGACCGTGTGCGTGCTTGTGTGTGTGAGGGCGGAGCTGGCCGAGCACGGTTTCAGGTTCTGTTTGGAGACCCTGGAGGGCAAAGTGCAAAAGTTTGAGGAGACGCCAGCAGACCAGCTGACAGGTGAACACAACTTTGACGATGCTCTTCTGTTTTTCCCTTGCTCTTCTTTTTCTTGAGGTCCTCTTTGCGTCATTGCCCCCCCCACCAGAGGCCGATGAGGTTCTGAGGAAGGACACTCGTCTCCTGCTGGGTCTGTGTTTGGACTCACACGCTCGCTACCTGGCATCCAAAAAGCAACTGACACAGGCCGCCGCCCACTACCGCAAAGCTTTGGACATCTGCCAGAAGGAGCAAGGGCCGCATCACCATCAGGTAAGGATGCACTACAACCGTGACTGCTATTTGCTTGCGGTGCCCTGCTCGAATTTTCTCACATGCTGTGCGGGCCTCATCAAGAGTTGGACATACTGCTGCTGCTGCTAGACAACAAGGAAGTTAACTCTTGGATGCGGTCACTATTTTGCAAGTATTGCCACTTCATTTTCAGTGCAGTCGTAGCTCCACCCTGCTCCATCCTGACGTGGGAAAACTATGTCATCCAAATATCTACCCGATGTACCTTCTGGCTAGTTGCCATATATGTCACTTTCTCGTTTCTTGCCGTTTGTAACAGACTAAGTGAAGGGGTTGCCAACTTTTTTTTGCGCCACATACGCCCGATACTTGCTGTAGCAAGTATCGCTGACTATTCAGATAGAAGTACTTGTACTCAAGCTGTGAAAAAATGACGTGTGTATCTGTCACCCGCAGACACTGGTCCTGATGAGCGACTTGGCTACCATTTTGGATTTGCAAGGTCGCCATGACGACGCCTTGGCGCTGCTCCGTCAGGCGGTGGATACGGGCCGAGTCTCAGGACACGAGGACCTTCACGTCCTCCTGGCCAACATGGCCACCGTCTTGCTGCATGCAGGTGATTGATAAAGAGTTGCCCAGCAGGAAGATGATGGCGACTTATCTTTGTTGGTTTGCATCCTCAGGTCGCCATGACGACGGCATTCGCATGTTCCACGAAGCCCTCGATCTGGCGCGTGAAGTCGACGACAGCAATGCTATCCGGCACATCTTGCGGGGCCTCAGCCGTGCCGCCAAAACAGCCCAGGCCGACTCTGGGCGAGAGGAGGCGGAGCAACCTGTAACTTAAGATGAGGGTCACAGGTCGACTTTCTATGTGGGGAATAAAGGAGGTTGAAGTGAACAAAGTTTGTGTTTGGCGATTTATTGAAGAAAAACAAGCAAAGGAGACAATTGAGTAGCAACATTTCCTCTTAATAACCACCGTAGCCTCCTCGGCCACCCCACCCTCTACCTCGGTAGCCGCCTCCTAAACAGCCCAGGCCGACTCTGGGCGAGAGGAGGCGGAGCAACCTGTAACTTAAGATGAGGGTCACAGGTCGACTTTCTATGTGGGGAATAAAGGAGGTTGAAGTGAACAAAGTTTGTGTTTGGCGATTTATTGAAGAAAAACAAGCAAAGGAGACAATTGAGTAGCAACATTTCCTCTTAATAACCACCGTAGCCTCCTCGGCCACCCCACCCTCTACCTCGGTAGCCGCCCCCTCCGCCATATCCTCCTCTTTCGCCCCAATCCCCCCCTCCTCCCCCTCGGTAGCCCCCTCTTCCTCCGCTATAGCCTCCTCCGCCATAGCCACCTCCACCTCTGTAACCTCCACCGCTGCCTCCTCTATCTCCTCCTCCTCCTCCTCTGTAAGGCCCACCGCCTCCACCCTGGTAGCCTCTTCCTCTTCCTCCCCTGTCCAGGCGTCCCATCTTGGGGGGTCGAGGGCCATCGCCCATCCTGCAGAGAGACAAAGGCAGCTGCTAGCATGTAACATGTCACAACTTTGTTCAATTTTAAAAATGGGCCGATAAACTGCTGTTTACTTCAATCTGCAAAGTTATTGTTCGGAAAAATATATTTATAATATTGCATCAACTATGTCTACACTCTGAGTGAGTGAATTGGCTTTTTTTTCTTTGTAGTTCACTGTAGTTATTTTATTTTATTCTACATTTGTTGTACAGCAGAATAACAGTTTGAAATTAATGAAAAAAACAATCTGTGTGAAAAGTGCAATTACTGTATAATTATTTTATTTTGTTATTATATTATTTTGTTATTTTGACTTCAAGATGGCGCCGCGAGAGTGGCTGCCTTTCCAGCAGCTTCTATATTTTGTTCTTCTACTTCTTCCTTTCATAACTTTGCTGCTGTGAATTGGGAATTTCTCCATTGCGAGACTAATAAAGGTTTTCTTATCTTATCTTTCTTGTCAGGACAAGTGCTTTAAAACTGGCAATTTAAAGGCAATGAAAACATTGGCTGGCTGGCTCTCCGGCACGGTGGCTCACCTGTGGTTGGCGACGGCCAGGTTGATTCCTGCAGCAGAAGGTTTGGAAAGGTGTCGGATAAGGTTCACGAGCCGCTGGTTGCTTTGGTCCAACTGGGAGATGTACTCGGGGTCTTTGCTCACTTCCACCACCACAGCTTCAAGCGCTGCCCGGACAGCCAGGATGTGGCCCGCCGTCTCGTGAGGGAGCCGCAGCTTGATCCTGTATGCATCACATGACCCATTACATACCAGGGTGTTGTTGGGCTTTGTTGCCAATTGGTGACTCATTCAATACTCAACCACAACACAGGGGAGTTTTTGTGGAATTTTTAACTAATAATCCCCTGGACCACGGTAAACAATTGGCATACAGAGGGGATTTCGAATCTAAAATGGTGCACCGCTACCACTCAAGTGCTTGCAATTCAAACGGAAGGAGCACTAGGCACATATCAAGCCCCCAAACAAAAAAATGGGGGACACGCCAAACTTGTCTCCCTTCACACCGAAACGTTTCGATGCTCATGGACGACTTAAGTCATTCTTGTCATTTAAAGAGAAAGTAAGCCATTTTAGACTAAAAAGGAAAAACTTTGGAGTTCAGCATTCAGTATGCTCGTGGTGCTGCTGTACTTTACAGTTCAATAGATACATTTTCAAAAAGGGAACGTGACGCTTTGTCAAGCGCTTTAGTGTAGATTAAGTGCTATAAAAGTGCATTATATTTACCAATTACATTTTTTTTCATCTGCTGGAGTACAATGTTTTTTCAGAAATATGCAAAAGATATAAATCAATCCGGAACACATTTGTCGACATCAACACAGCAAGCAAATCGTCATTTGAGTTCTAATATGTCTATAGAGCTGAGCACATTGGTGGTTATGACACATTCTTTGAGCAACCATGTTTCACTTTGAAGATTCACCATTATCTTCACATTTCAAATTTTAAATGAACAAAAAAATAAGATCAAGATTAAAAATATATGACTCATAATTTATTTCCCAAGGGACTGGGAGCCACAGCGGAAGGATTAAAGAGCTACATGCGGCTCCAAAGTCACGGGTTCCTGGCCCTGACATAGTAGCTAACTTCTATTGACTACATGTTCCTACAGCACTATAAACTGGCCAACTGGCTATGTACCGTAGAGGCTAGCTAGGGAGCCGCTCTGTCTCTCACCAGTCATCCAGCTCGACCACGTCTCCGTTGGAGGAGACCTTCTTGCAGGCGAAGAGCAGAAGCTGCAGCGCGCTGACCAACGTCATCCCTTTGGCGGAGATGGCTCGAGTGCGGATCTGACAAGGCCGCAACAAGGGCGCCACGTCATTCAGGAGCACACGTAATGCTGATGCTATGCGCTGAGAGAAGCCTCACCTTCTCACTGAAGACGAAGAAAGGTGAAGGGAAGACGAAGTCCTGGCTTGTGAAAGGACAGGTGACGGAGGATTTGTGGATGAGTGCGTTTCGTCCCTCGGTGGTGAGGATCTTCCTCTTCTCCTTGTGGAAGCAAACGTTGGGATACGCGCCATACGTCAGCAGAGACACCACCACATCCAAGTTGTTGTCTGGTCCCATTGCCGTGAACATCTGCGTCATCAGACACTCTGAAACCACACATGCACACACACAGGTAAATACGCCGTACCAAAATTAGGACTGCTATACTCCGTTGGCATAAAGAATCCTCATAAAGACGAATTAATACCCGTACCATGGCAAAAACCTGATACATCAGTAAAAGCTGAGTCCTGTATTTTCATTTTCGGCAAACAGGCACGGCGGTACTTTATCAATAGCGGAATGGCATGCAAACCTAACCAGCTACCTTCAGGAAATCCAGAGTTGACCAGAATCTCCTTCAGCTGGACTTTGGCCTCCCAGGTCATCCGCAGGGTAGCCATGTTGAGACGTTTGTGTTCACAGAAACGGCATTCCGCCTCCTCGCCGTTAATCCTGAAGCGGAGTAAGGGGAAGTACCGTGAGCGGCGTGTTGTCGAGGGCAGCCGCCAGTGACGTCACACCCACCTGACTTCGTCCCAGGCCTGGAAGACGCACAAGAGTGCCACGTGGTCCGAGAAGCGGCTGCCGGCGAAGTTTCTTTGGACAAACCCCAGACGCTTTCCCTCGCTGATGAACGGTTCTTGGAAGCAGGTCGCCGCCGAGATGGTGCACATGGCGTCTCCCACGCTAGACGCAAACACACGCGCGCACACATCAAGACGGGAATAAAATGGCCAGCAAAAGGAAGTGGAGGAAACTGACCCAAATATGCAGCCCATGATCATCATCTTCCCCAGACGGGGCTCGATAGGCAAGCGGGCCAGGATCCGTCCCAGCGGAGTCAGCTCATCGTTCGAGTCCAGCGCATCCAATTCTGTGCACAAACACGTGGTTCTTTTGTGGCTGTGACTGTGTGCATGCGTGCATGACATGTGTGCGGGCTCTCACCTCTGAGCGTGTGCTCAGCCTCAATGACAGCATCCAATGGCGGCGGCTCGATAGCTTTCGACAGGAAGTGACCGATGGCGCCGAGCCTCAGCAACTTAATGCTCAGGGCGACTTCATGCAGAGGAGTCCTAAAGATCTCGGGAGTCATATGGGTCTCCAGCCTACAAACGCACACACACACAGTTAAGTTATGGGGGAATAGTCATCATAGTGGACACGGTTATACCTTTCAAAACGCGCGCGACTGCAGAGGTGAAAAATGAATCCGGCTCGGACTCGGCCAGCCCTCCCTTTCCTCTGCTCCAGGTTGGTTTTGGAGGCCCACACGGTGGCGTAGTTAGTCATGTTGTTGTGAGATGTGAACAGTTTCACCTTCTGCCTGCACACACAGAAACATACACACACGGACGGCATCACAACATGGACGAGAGAGTCATTTAATCTTTGATTCCCAACACGACTACTGTCAAAGAATACATTATGGGTGTTCTTTTGGCACTATGTAGGGCAACCTGTACTCACAAGACATTGCAGCAGCTCAACTAAACGGCCACCTTCCCCATATAAGGTGCTAAATAGTAAGTGGATAAGCATGATTACCCCCACGGACTGTCATGGGGGGCAAGACAGAACTTACTTGCAGGAGTCTATGACGTAGACCACGTCATTGATGGTGATGCTGGTCTCCGCGATGTTGGTGGACAAAATTACCTGCAGGGACAAGACAAGCGTTAACATTATGCACGGCCACCACATGCTGATTGCGTCGAACCACAAGTGCAGACGCAGTAAACTATGGTGTCGAGATAAAACCTCAGACCTCAGTCATTTTCTTCACAAATGGATATGGGTGTTTGACAAATTATTGACCACTTTAAAGTGTTGACTTCTCCTTTGAGGTGTCGTTGACAAGTGTCAGTAGTCTGTGTGGCCCTCGGAGCTGTGTGTCTTCAGCAGAACAGTTATGTGAAAGTCCGGGTCTGCTGCTGAGGTTATCCATGGGAAATAGATAGAGGACAAAGAGGGTAGGGCCTGGCACAGAAACCTGAGGGACACCGCAAGTGACATTGTGGGTCTGTGACTTTGCACGTTGCCCAGAGCAACATACTCGGTTCTGTCGGTCAAATAAGAGGTGCGCCTATTTTGGAGGGCTATTTCTATGCTATGGTCAGGGCGGAACCCCTGGAAAATACTGACTGAACCACTAACGGAATCTGTTTCATAAAAGCTGGGGAGTATTTCATCAATCCCTCTCATGTGAAAATTCTACAAAGACAACAGCCACTTGTCTCGCTGCTCGCAAGATGCCAGACACTGTGCTGCCACCCGATGTGATGTCACTAACCTTCCTGATGTTTTCCGGCACAGGCTCAAACACGAGCCTTTGCTCCTCTCGGGGTATCTGGGAGTGAAGTGGGAGGATCCGGTAACGGCTTCTGCCTGTAAACAAAGGAGAGAAGCACAATCACACGTCAACAAAATTACGATTGACGACTTCTCACGCTGCCGTGTGACCTTTACTTACTGAAGTGGGGGTTGTACTCCAGGTGACGTTGCATGGCGTAAATGAGATTCCAGCCGGGCAAGAAGATGAGGACGGCCCCCGAAACCTGCAGGGTCTCAATGTACTTGAGCAGAGCGTCCACCAGATCA